ATTATTTTGTAAGCAATTTTGCATTTAATTCATTGTTCTTTATTGAACTAATTTTACAAACTTATCAAGAATTTTTTTTTTGTGGTGTTCAAACAATCCGGATGAGATTCTTGAATTCTTGTGATCACAAGGTTAACATATTCTCGGCGATTATATTAGTTCTTTGGTCCAATATTTTTGTATTAAACTTAGGGGTGTCAAAAAGGCTCGTTGGCTCGAGGTGACCGAGCCTCAAAATAAGAGACCGGCCCGAGCTCTAGCAAGCCCGTGTGGCTCGCCGAGCCACACGGGCTGGCTCATGTCACGGGCCAAAAATGGCCCGTGACAATAATGCTCGGCCCGAGCAAATTAAAGGACCCAAAATTTTTTTTTTTTTAAATTTGGCCTGCAGCAGGTTACAGCTACCTTAGGCAGCTATAAAGCTGTCTTTTTAGATAGCTTTATAGCTGTCAGCTAGGGGCTTAGGGCAGGCATTTTTTACGTAGTGGTGTTACACTGTTACCTTTAATCGTATTGATTTTGAAATTTGAATTTGAAAAATAATGCGGGTTTTTTTTATCTATAAATACGGGATGATTTTTAAAGTTCTAAATCATTTTGCTATCGATTTTAATTCGCATTATTTCTATATTATAGATTCAGATTCAATCATTCAAGTTTCAATTTCTTCTTTCTCACTTCTCATATAACAATTAATATATTCAATTTCTTTCACTCTACAGTCTAATATTCAATATTTTTTATTACACTAGTTATTATGGATTTTACAAGTGATGAAATTAATCAGTTTGGCGGTGGCTCGAGTACTCCATCTAACTACGATGCATGTGAAAATGTTCCAATTAATTTGGAGGATATTGAAGCGGAAGAAGTTCAAGTACTCGAGACAAAAAGGTCAAAAAAAGAATCATCGGACTGTTGGCAACATATGACATGAAAAAAAATTGATGTTCAAAATGGAGTAGATATTTGGAAAGCATGTTGCAATTACTGTGGCAAAGAACTTAGTTGGAAGCCTGGCTCAAGCACAACGCATTTGAATAGACACGTATTAAGGAGTTGCAAAGCGAAACCAGCCGATCTCGACTCGAAACAGACCGAATTCCACCTTTGTACATTCACAGGAAAGATTTCGTGAAGGAATGGCTGCATACGTGGTTGCAGCAGAGATGACGCTTATGATGATAAACGTTGATAGTATAATGGCCGAAGAGTTGCAGCATATCCAAACATAGGATGTTGTAAGTTTTTAAATTAATTATTTTTCTTTAAGAAATGTGTTTTTTTAATTTATTTGATTCAAGAAAATTGTATATGAAATATTTTATTCGTGTACAATTTTAACTCCGCCTACGTTGATTGTAGCCAGTTCCAAGCCCGGAAAAAGGAGGAGGGTTGTAATTTGTAACTTTTATTTATTTTGTTAATCGTATAAATTATATAATTTTGAAAGTTGTACTTTTATTTAATTTGTATATATAATAAATGATGCAATTTTTAAATCTTTCAAAAAAATATCATTAAACAATTTCTTTACTTTCTACACTAAACAAATTGTACCACAACAATTAGCATGTGAAAAAAAATGTCGTTAAAAATTAAAAAAAAAATTAAAAAACCGAGCCGGCCCAGCTCATAAAGGCCGAGCCTTATTTTTTTGGCCGAGCTTTGGCTCGGCTCGAGCCCAAAAAAAGCCCGCTATGATTTACTAGAGCCGAGTCCGAGCCCAAAATTTCAGCTCGCGAGCCGGCTCGGCTTGGCTCGTTTACATCCCTAATTAAACTCTAAAATTTGATTTTTTTGACTTTCTTGGATTAATTCAATTTTTGCAAGTTTCAAAACTACTATTATCACGTGGGTTCACATCACCAACAAAAACCACCTAAAAAATAATCAACACTGCCACAAACCTCACTCATACCGCTAACATCAAACATAACCCACCCCAAAAATAATCAACGCTGCCACCACCGCCAACTACAAACACAACAAACAAAACCCACCCCAAAAACTCCATCATTCGCCATGCGCAAAGCACAACGACCTTTGTTGCAGTGCCGTTGAGGCTTTGTCGATGCAACGACACAAATTTTCCCAAATCTCATCATTCACTGTTCCAGCAGATCCCAACATTTTCCTAGATCTTGGCATCATCAACGTTGTGAGTCGCTGCGTGACCTCTGATGACTTGTCAATTCCCCGCAAACATCCCCAAATCTCAACATCAGGTGGGTGGTTGGGTTGGGTAGGGTTAGATGGGATAGATATGTGTATTAATAAATATTTTGAAAATCGGACCAGACCGGTCGGTTTAACCGAGAAAACTGGAAACCAGACCAGTATCCGAGTCGGTCATTACTTTAAACTGTTTTTAATTAGAGCCGGTAGAAAACCAAAATTTCAGCCACTCACACCATTAACCGAACAATCCGTAACCGATTTTGCAATTTTTCCCGGTTAAGTTAACTAGTTTATCAAATATTGTCTTCAAATTTCAGCCCAAGAAATTCACTGCCCATGATTGTGCTTTGGCATTGCTTTGGCCCACATATATATAAAATTCATCTTCAGTGCTTTTTTCTTAGGTTTCCGATGTGGGATCAAGAAAGATATTTGTACTTTGTAGGTAGATATCAATCAACTCTTCTTTTCGATGTGGGAATAATAAAAAAATGGTCTCTAGATTCCCAATCCTTTCTCAGTCTCTTGTAAATAATTTTTCAATTCTAAAAATAAATAAATTAAAAGGCAATGACTTTATTTGAAAAAGGGATAATACTTTTGCTGTAAATTATTTATCTCTTCAGATTAATTTCCCTTTTTTTCTATTTTATGTGATCTTTATTTAATTTTATTATATTAACACAATAAAATACTATGAAAGTATTAAACAATTCACCATAAACTAATAAAATCAAATGCACCCAAATTTAACCGTTAATGGATGCTTTTGTCTATGCATATTAAGTTAATTTGAAATTAACTAAATTTTGTCAATTGTTGTGGTATATAATTTATTTATTTATTTATTAAAACCGGTTCGATCCTGATTTAATCCTAATTCGACCTTTCAACTCTTGACCCTTTAGCTTTTTCGGGTCAACATCCATATCGATTTTCAAAACATTGGTATTAATTTAATTTTATATTATAATTATCAATATTAAAATTTTGAATTAATAACTGAATCTAAATAAAAACTTTTAAATCTTATTTTCAAATTATGAAGTTAAAACACATGAGTGGATGTAACTTCCGCTATGACTTTTTCCTATTTTTGACTACTTTTGAAAACTATTCTTAAAAAATTATAGAGAAAATTTCATAAGTAAGAGATTAATTATGGCACATTTCAAAAACAAGAAAACAACTTTCAAATTTCAAAAATCAGATTTTTATTAAAATTTATTTATCATTTAATTAATTTAGTAATTAAATATATTTAAGTCATAGATTTATATAATTTGGTCACAAATTAATGATTTAATTTGTCACTTATTATTTTTGGTCACAAATCATAAATTTTATGTCACAAATTATTTTACGGTCACAATTCAAAAAAATTATAGGTCACAGTTTGTTCATCGGTCACAAATCAAATTACAAATATTACAAGTCACAGCTTATTATATGTCACAAATTATCAAATTATCGGTCACAAATTAACAATTTTTTAGGTCACATTATTTTTCGATTATAATTTATTTTTTTCATTGGTCACATATTATTTATTGGATAGTCGCAGACTACCTAATTTAATGGTCACAATCAACCAAATAATTTGTGATCACCACCAATACTTACTATTCACAGTTACAATTTTCAGGTCACATATTCAATTGTGAGCCACAGTCACAATTTTCAGTTGACGTATCAATTGTAAGTCTAATCAACCAAACCGCCACGACCACCGTCATGGCCATCACCACCTCCACGACCAATTGTGACTCCCAAATTGTGAGTCATAATCATAATTTTTAGGTCACAGGTCCAATTATTTGTCACAAAATGAACCAAACCGCCACGACCACCACAACTACCTCCGTCACAAAAAAAATCGTGCAAATCACCAACATCAGCCCGTCGCCGTCGTAAATAGGCGTACCGTCGCCGTAAACACACCACCACACCCACGCACAAAAACTTTCAACAAACAAAACTTCCCCATATCCACCATCACCACAATTTTCAACACAAAACCCACCCCAAAAAAAGACTAGCAGCACCACCATCACCACAAAGCTTTAACAAAATCATATACAAATTCCTCTCCAACAAACTGCACATCGACGGAAATCATCGAATCATTACCGTCTCAAGTGCCGACCCCGTCAGGCGGTTCAGAAAATGACGCTATGATGACATTTATTACAACGGATCCAGCGAATTTCAAGCAAATGGTACAGCAGGTGACCGGCATAAGATTTGGCGACGATTTAAACGGGCTTGTACCGTCGAAACCTAACTTGCAGAGGCCAATCCACATGTTTCAGGAACACCGCAAACACCACATCGCAGTCGCGACTTGATTTCTTTAAGTTGCTGTCGCCACAAGATCTCCACGACCACCATCTGCCACAGTTCCCGGTGCTGATCGATTGTGATCTTCCAATGACCGCTTGTCCGACAATGGACGATTTGTGGGAGTGATCTTCGGTGGCAACGTTTTGGGCAGAGAGAAAGGCGATAATAGAGAGAGAGAGATAAAATTGAGATTGGGCAGAGAGAGGCGATAATTAGGTTTGAAATTTTTTATTTGATTAATTTTTAAATATATTAATCAATTAAAATTTTATGATTTGTGAAATACTAAATATGACATCTTATTTACGAAATGGGGAATTTTAATCTATTAAAATATGTAATTTACACAAAATATGTAGGATCGGCCCAACTCAATCTCTCCTGAGAATGTGGTCTGTCTTAAACTGGGCGGAGGTTATTTTCTGGGCTAATAAATAGTGGACCTCCTAATCTCGCCCCAGTAGACAGCCCAGTCACATCGGTCATATAAATCGAGCGATGTCAGTTAGGTTAAAATCCCTTCTTTCAATGTGAAGCATTTTCTGATTTCTCTCAAGCGCCGCCGTCGAAGGATTTTTACCTCGTTGAATCAAAATGGTGGGTTCTAGTATGATCGATTTCAGTATGAAATATGTAATCGATTAGAGCTATTTTCTTAGTGTTTACTGAAAATTTTGTGTGTTTGTGTGGTTTCACGGATATATAGGTTCTCCCGAACGATGTCGATTTGCTGCATCCTCCACTAGAGTTGGAGAAGAAGAAGCACAAGCTCAAGCGTCTCGTTCAGTCTCCCAATTCTTTCTTCATGGTAAATTCTACCACTCTGTTTGTATATTCAATATCTTCTGTACCCCTTTTGATCTTCTCCTCTTTTCTTTGTTTTTTGCATTAGGATGTGAAATGTCAGGGTTGCTTCAACATGTGAGTTATTCGACTTTTGTTTATTGTGTTGATGTTATTGATTTTGTGGGTGTTTAATGGATCATCTGGTGTGTGTTTTTTTGAAATAAATTTTGGTGCAGAACCACTGTTTTTAGCCACTCTCAGACTGTTGTGGTCTGCGGTAACTGCCAGACGGTGTTATGTCAGCCCACTGGTGGCCGTGCCCGGCTCACTGAGGGATGCTCTTTCAGGAGAAAAGGGGACTGAGACTGCTGGTCGAATATTACATTGTCTCAGTGAAAAGTGGGTTCCAACGAATTTTTGAGTTTTTAGTATTTCAGTTACTTTATGCGTCTCGTCTCGTCTCGTCTCAACTTAGGAAGTGCGATCGGGGAAGGGGGTGTTCTTATTCACATTTTTGTTTCTCTGTGCCAGGTGCTACTTATCCCATGCCATGAATTGTCAAGTCATTTGATGCTTTTTTTGCTACTAGTTCTTTTTAAACATACTGTTTCGAAGTACCTATTATAATTTAATGGTTTTTTAATACTGAGCAACTTATTAGATTGGAAATACCTTGGCTTTGACTTCCATTCAATGCACGTATGATCTATTTATTTCCTAATTTCTTCTTTCATTTTAATGCATGGTGCATAACATCTTGCCATGACAAAATGAAAGTTGGCGTTAGAATTTCACATTTATACATATACCTAATTTTATAGGTGGTTTCTAGTGCGTTGAACATAATGGGCTATGCTAGAGACAATGCATGGTTTATTACTTTTCATGAAACTGTAGTAACTCTATAGAAGAGGGAGAAGCCAAAATTAATATGACCAATTTGTAATAGCAACAGATCTTGTTGGATTTGATCTTTCAATCGGAATAGACTTAAAGAATTTATGCGTGAACCCTAATTTGTTGGGAGTAAGACTTTGTTGTCTTCTTCTAATTGTAGTGTTTTGAACTTGGAAATATCTCCATGAAAGCTAGTTGCTCTGTTCTGTTGCTATTATTTGGTAGTGATATGAGTTTTTAGGATTGCTTTGTTGCTTGAGGTTTTGACAACATACAATTGAGGTTCTAACGGTCCGTCCAAATCTTGTATGTTACTATTCTCTATTTAAAGATCTGCGTTTTCATGTTAAATTTTTATATTACTCATCAAGAACTTGTCATCATATGCTAGTATTGTCTTTACTCTATTCAAATTAACGCTTGAATTTCCCTTGATACTGAAGTATATGCTGCAACTTATTTGTTTGGTACTTTGATTGTCCTATACAGTAGTGATCTTTTGTTGTACAATATAGTTTTGACAAGAAGTACAAGTTGGAAGATACAGTTGAAAGTAGAACTTACACACACCTAGATGTTGTAATTGGATGATGTTACTAGCGCGAGTGGCTTATCTGTTTCTGGAGTTTGAAAATCTTGGAAATTTTGAACTTATTGAGCCACCTCTATCTTGGAAATTTTTGAACTTATAAAACTGCAACGTTTTGATAGAGTAAATTCAAGATATTTACTAGTCTATGAAGGACATTTTATTAGTAATTAAGTTTTGAAAATGTAGAGATATTTTAACAATGGTTTAATAAATTTTCTGGTATACCTCTGCATTGTGCAAGTCAATTTCAACGTACTTCATTTGAGAGTAGAAGCAGGTTGGCAAACAAGTACTTAGAAAAAACATGTAGGTGGAAGTGTTGGAGATAATTGAATAGAAGACGCTTTTAGCTCACTAAGTATATTGTTCCATCACCATAATGATAGATGGTAGCGGATGAGAAATGTCTAGTTTTTGAATCTAAGAAACACTATGTTCTTAATCGACCTCTTGATTAGAAGCAACTGGTTGATCAAGGAAGATGAATGTTTATAATTCACATTGGAAGAGTGAAGAATTTTTTTCCGAAGGGACCTTAAGATATAGTGGAAGTTGTTCTGTGTGCTTTGACTGAGTAAAAGTTGATCTTAAGCGACATTGTTTCTGTTCATGAACTGATAAGAGTTTATATACTGCGAAGGCATTGTTTGGCCGTGCAGATATTGATATTTGATAATTACCAATGACAAAATGTTACGAGATATTATCAATTAAGCTCTTGTTTGACGACTATTAAGTAATGCTTTGAATAGTGAATTTTAAAAGAATGTGTGGTTAAGAAATGGGAAAAAGTTATGAGTTTATGTGCATAATATTTAATATTTTATTATGTAAATGTATGGTTAAAAATGATTGCGTAGAAAAGAAGTTGTCAAATAATGGTTGTCAAACAGGAACTAGATTAGGTCCTTCATGTAAGTTGAATGAGGCATTCGGACATGCCCAATACCGAGCATTGGGTCGCTCTCGAGTCAGTCTTGCATCTATTTGCCTTTAGCAAGGAAGAAGAGGACGTCCATGGTCGGGATGACTTCAATGCCCGAAAAGTAATGAAGAGTTCCAAAATTGTTCACTGGGACATACACACACAAAAATAAAAATAAAAATAAAATGATGATGTTTGAAATAGAGTTGGAAAAATCAATTTTTTTGACTCAGTATAGCAGTCTCGTGGTGCTCAATTTTAGGAAAATTCTCACAAATATCGCTTCATCACCTTTTTCAGTAGAATAATAAGTAAAGAACATGGGATTGATGATTAAAATGAATGAATATTGTTTAGGTAAGAGTCAATTGGATCTGAATGCACATGCATGTTTTGTGCAATCATCGATATTCCTCAGAGAACCAATCATTTTCAGAAAGGGTATATAAACAAGAATTGCGTAACATGATCCTCAATTTGGAATTTCCTTTGAACAATTAATTACTTCATCATTCTCACTGCAAACAAAATTATTTTGTCTAACTTACGTTCTCTTCGGTCGTCCTTCCAATATATTTTGATGTTTTGTTACATTACAGATTGACCTCTTTTAAAGGTAATGTGCGTTCGAGGTGTCAAAAATGTACAAAAAGGACAACAGATTTGGGTTCTCATTCCTAGTAACCGAACGTCTAATGTAAATCATGTTTGTCGGGTTCGTTGTTTAAATATCAATTGATTGACAAAATTATAATATTAGTTACGAATATCCTAATAATTAGCTTTTTGGTGTTGAACAAACATCACATGCACTCAATCATATGGAAGCAAATATACAAAACCTAAAGCACCAATCCATGTAAATGTAATGAAATAATTTAAATGAAATTGAGAATATTAGACACGAAGTATGGAGAGGAAGGTGAAGTGGGAATTCTAATGCTTCGTCTTATTTGAATGCCATCACATGCGAACTACCTCCTTTCAATTTAACTATTCGGAAGTCAGTTCAACACATTAATTCCACTCTTCATGTATGTGTCATGTGTGTGTGTGTATATATATAGTGACATACCCGTTAGGACTCATTCATCAAGTTCGAGCTCGATCTCTAGGTGTAATTAGATCAAAGATTTACATGATGAACCCGTTCAAGAGCAGCATTAACAGTGCTAGACAGAAGCAAACCGGAGGAAAGTATCTGGGAGTTCGTAGACGGCCATGGGGACGATATGCTGCAGAGATACGTGATCCCACCACCAAGGAAAGGCATTGGCTGGGCACCTTCGATACTGCAGAGGAGGCCGCCCTGGCCTACGACAGAGCCGCGTTGTCTATGCGCGGCTCTGGTGCCCGGACTAACTTTTGTTACTCGGAGTCAGACGTTGTCATGCCTGCAGCTGGTAATTCCTCTGTCGCCGACAATCACTTTTCGGAGCAAACTCCACAGCTGATGATCGCAGCTGACTGCCCAAATGAAGAGTCATCCTCTGTCTCTGAGCCTTCTTCATTGTGGCCAGGTTATACTCTCGGTGACAGTGTCTATCAGCAACAAGTTTCTGTAAGTGAAACGAACCAAGCATTGTCCAATTCCCACCAAACGCTAGATGTGATGCAGTCACCAGGTTATGTTGAGGGACACCACAACCAAGGCGAATGGACAAGTAGTCTATTTGGGTACGATGAGGCAAGAAGAGGGTCGCCTAGCAGCCTGCTATTTGATTCTAGTTATGTACACAGTCCACTCTTCAGTCAGATGCCTCCAGTTTCGGATGCTGATTCTTTGGCAACTTTTAATTTGGGTTCTTCGGCCTATTTCTTCTGATTCAATTGCCCCGTCTCCCTTTCACTCAAATGCAGATAGGGCACATGCCCAACTTTTAGATCGAGTAAAACTACTAAGCTAGTCCCCTCACCTCTCTTTCTGATTCTTGTTTGCCTCTTGCTTCGTTATTATGTAGGGGGAAATGTTACCCAAATCGTAAAGCTGGATTACATGATAATCACCTATTAAACCCGCACCACCCACAACTTGTGTAGTGTATAGAACTACAAGTAATATATCGAGTGGGGTGGCTTGATGGGGGAGTATCCTTTTTTCTTTTTCTTTTTTACTTTTTCTTTATGAAGGATGTGCCTTCCTTTGTGCTGCTTCCTTGGATTCGAATTATTCAATTTTACTGTAGGAAACAACAAAGAAGAGAACTTGGAATTTGTGTTGAAATGTAGAGAATTTGCTCCTTCCAGTCGGAAGTGTCATTTTTTTTTTCCTTTTTTTTTTTTTTTTTTTTTTTTTTTTTGGGGTCTCTGAAAAACATACAAGTCTCTTGGAATTGCCCACGGTTTTAAATGAAAAGATCTAAAGTTTTCTCCTATCAGTGAGACGTCGATAAGCAACATTAGCCTAAATACAACACACTGATTATAAAGGATGAAACTGAAGTTTCTTAGAGATGGGATTCTTATTAAAAGAAGAAATGATTAACAGTTATTCAATTTAAGAAAACAAATTTCACAAACAAGAAGGAATAAGTGAAAGAGAAAGAAAGGCGAATAAGTGTGACTGCTTTCCTGTCAGGAATTGAGCCTCTGCAATCTCATCTGTTGGTGGAATCGTTGAATGAACAAGTCAGCCATATGGTCGACATCATCCTCCAGTCTCAACTGCTTTCCATGTCGGTCCATAGAATTTGAATAATCTCTTTCTTCCTTGTTATTCGCATCATCTAACCAAGGATACATCAACTTATCTTCTTGTTCTTGTTCTTCTTCTTCTGGCGCTTTTGCCAACCGCTTTGTATTGTTTGATGTGTTAACGCTGTTACGAAGGACGATAGTATTGCTATCGACTGCATTAGTCTGGTTCAAGTACTTCTCCTGCCGACTGTGGTTCTTGAGCTTCTGAGAGACATTGGAGCCAAGAGAAAGCACCTTCTTGTCCCTCAATAAGTAGAATATGATTAAACGAGCTTCAATCGCCCGAAGTTTCCCCTTAAGAGCCATTGAGTTGGAGGCCAACTTTGCCATCACCTTCCTCACCAATCCCATGCCTCTAATGTTGTCCTTCATTGTTCTTTTATCTCAATAGTATTCGATAATTAAGGGACGAGGGAGAGACTGAAGAATTATCGAACAATTTGGGTTGTTCTGAGGCAGAGTTGTAGATAGAAATAGAGATGATGAAGTGAAGGCTAAGGAAAAGGGGAGGGAAAGGTCAATTCAATTTCAAAGTAAAGTGAAAAAGGGAAGAGAATAATATAAATAACCTTTTGTGAAAAACAAGTCTCTCCTTCCTTGCCCATAAACTCGGGAAAAAGTGAAAGTGGAAGAAGCAAACAAATACAAGATGTGGAAGCTTGTAATTACTCCTCACTAGAATTTGTGTGTGTGTGTGTTTTTTCCCCTTAATAGACCGATAAAAGTAGTTGACACGTTTTACTAATTTGAAAGAAAATTAGAATTAGAACGATCACGTTTTGTCACTCGACTTGCGGCATTAATTCACTTTTATCAATGCATTTCATTTTGCTTGTAAATTTTCTTCCAAATTTTGTTGGTGTGTTATAAAAATCCTGAACTGAATAAAAACATGAAGTTTTGTTTGACTTTTAGTAGTTTGAAAGTGAAAATAAAAAAAAATAAGAAAACAAAATATTAAATTATTAATCTTTCTTTTGAGACAAAATATCAATCTTTCTTTTGAGTTTGTGGAATGGACCACATTGAATGGAAAGAACATAATGGCATCCACACATTATTAGTTGATAAATTCACATCCATCAATGGCATTGACCTGAATGAAATGTGTGAGTTTGCATTTCTGCCTTAAAGAGTGTGGTACATTGACATATGCTTTTCATTATGTAAATCAGATTATGTTGTTAAACATAAATAGATATAAATGAATGGTGAAGCACTTGTGGATTTGACTAAAAGTATTTATGAACTCTTTCCAAGCATATTCCTAATATCCTTTAATATATGCAATTATTTAGATTCATATTTTCTAAGAGGAAAGTCATCTCTTCTCTACATACTTAATTTTTATATTAATAAATTGACGAAGAGCGAAGCCAAACTCTTGAACTTTAAATGTTTCATTTTTCATTGAACTTATACCTGTATAAATTTAGTGACTAATAAAATATGTTCGGTGAGTAATGGATAAAACCTATTAAAAAAATTCATTAACCATTCAGAAACATTTTAAAGTTTCAATTACTTAAGAATCATGATGAGTGAATGGTGAAATACAACATGTTAAAGTTTAGTAATTACTTGAAAGCATTTAAAAGTTTGTGAATAAAACGTGATAGAGATATAAGTTTCGTAACTAATGAAATACTTATTTACTTACCCTCTAAGGTAAAATTTTACTTTTTAAAAATTGCGAAGTTTCCTCTAAGAATCCTAGAAACAAGAACCAACATAAGAGCCGGCCGTTATTATTACCTTTACGCCAATTACCATTGTAAAGCATTAAAGGGAAATGGAATAAAGAATATAATTGATTGTGCACTATAATCAAGGCTAGTAAGTGGGGCAAATTTTATCTAATTTTAATTTATCTTTATTAGTTTATTTAACTTTATTTAATTTATTTGAGTCACTGAATTACAATAAATTTCACCTCGTAGTGGCCTTGTCTCCTAAATTGATGAACGTTACATTTTTTATGGTATATCGGAATAAATCTTCAATGTAATTGATGTGTGTCCTGCCAATTTATCACTATATTACGTTAAAAAAGTGTTGCAACAAAAAACTACATTAACATTTTAATCTATCATATTTCTCATTATACTATTTCCATTTTTTAGGGTATCAAGTAACGATTACATGGAAGATTAACTATGTTACGAGAGCCAAATAAGTGACAAAAGTAGTGAAATTTGAAATTAAATTGAAATTCAATGATCCAATTGAATTTAAGCTTTCTTTTCTTTTCCCTTTTTTTCCTTTTCCTTTTTTTTTTTTTTGGGCATATTACAGGGTAAATAATTAGTTGAAGGATTTGGTAATTTTTTATTTCTGAATTGTCATATGCTTAATAATCAGCAATTGCCGTGCCTATAATATTATTTAAGACAACACTATTCAACGATGTCATTATTTGCCCCCTATTTGATGGTCATTATTGTGTAAACATGTTATTTTGAATAATAATTTTTTGGAGATTGTGATAAAAAAATGAAAAAAAAATGAGGTTGCATGTAAAATATTTTATTGTATCAATGTATAGTTGAAAATGAGTGTGAGAAATAAATTATTTTTATTTTAAGGGAAGTCAAACATGGGCTTGTTATTGTTTTGATAACATTGCAAAAATTGTTTAAGCTTATGTAATAATGATGATATTAATAAATATTTATTTAAGAAAATACATTCACAATTATTAAATAATATGTGCTAAATCAAACAATTAATAAAAGGGTAATTATATTCACATCACAAATTTTATTTTTTACACCACGTTTTAATTACACTTATGGTTCTTAATCTTTGCTTATTAGCACTTGTGTCTTCAATGATTTTTTATGTAATTCTTATTCTCAAACTTTTATTAGTAATATGAGTAATACTTTTGAAACACTAATGCTGTTTTTGAAAGTAGTTGAGTTGATGATATTGTTAAAGGAAAAAAATTAAAATTGTTAAAAATATATAAATGAATAAAACTTTTTATGAAATTATGTATGTAATGTGAAAATATTGAATAAACTGTAATGTGATATTTTGATTACAATAAAAGTTCTCTATACACAATATTTTTTGTCAACGTCCCACAACTTTTCTTATTTGTTATTTTTTGCTTTTACTAAGACTTTTATTTTTTGTATTGAAACTTCATGAGAAAGTGCAACATATAATCGTCCATGAAAGAATACATGTTGAAGAAGGAATATTTTAACAGAAGGCACTATTTGTCCTCATACCTTATTAACGGTCATTGCAAAGTATAGATTTATTAAAATTGTTTTCTATTGAATTTAAATGGATATCCTTCATTATTTGTTGAATTTAACGAGATGTTGTCCAACGATTATTTCTGCATGAAATATGACTCTTGAAATCTCCATAAATTATTCTTGTTCCATGGGAAAGATCATTTGATTGAGTCTAGATTCCTTAAAAGTATTAGTGGAGAATTTCTTTTCGATATTAATTTATGTGGTGGAATAGCATTTGATAATGAAATATTTAAGAACTCTTCTAGGTAAAATTGATTTATATCATCTATTGGTTCATCAAAGTTTACAAATTCTTAACTAGCCTCAGAAGATACCCAATTAGTTTGTCATTAAGGTTCTATGTTGGCATTTCCTCTCGTTAAAATTAATTTATTAGAACCCTTGAAACTTTTTGGTATTCAATATTTGTTATGTTAATTTGCTAATGAAAAATTAGAAAAATGAAAAAGAAAGCATGTGAATGTTGAATTCTCTGAATTGAAGAAGAAGAGACACAAATGTAGACCACGGGTCCAAAGTGAATTTCAAAAATCCACACGAAATTTCATAAAATTGCCATTCTTAATTACCTTTTATTTACATGATTTATTTTATTAGATTATAATGTTGATAATATTTGTATGCTTATATGATAGATGTATAATATTGAATTAAAATCTAGTCAATGGAAATCATTTAGAAACATTTTTTTTTATTTTTTTTTAACTACAATGTTAATTTTTTAAATATTAAAGATTTAAAAAAATTATATCAAATTATACAAAATTGAGAAGGTTATTATTAAATTGCACGAAAACCCAAATGTTTCAAGATTATATTTGGCTCCTATTTATAGATTGCTCAAAATCACTCAAGAGTCAAGGGACTTTCTATCTACGTATTTAAGCGACGCACAAGTACAATAATTTATTCATTACTCATTTCCATCTATTTATAACTAATTTGGTATTCAAAACCGAATAAAAACATTAAGTTTTGTTTGACTTTTAGTAGGGTGAAAGTGAAAATAAAAAAACATAAGAAAACAAAATATTAATCTTTCTTTTGAGACAAAATATCAATCTTTCTTTTGAGTTTGTGGAATGGACCACATTGAATGGAAAGAACATAATTGCATCCACACATTGTTATTTGATAAATTCACATCCATCAATGGCATGGACTTGAATGAAATGTGTGAGTTTGCATTTCTGCCTTAAAGAGTTTGGTACATTGACATATGCTTTTCGTTATGTAAATCAGATAATATTTATAAACATAAATAGATAGAAATGAATGGTGAAATACTTGTAGATCTTATAAAATATGTGGATCTGGCTTAAAATATTTATGAACCCTTTCCAAGCATATTCCTTGTATCCTTTAATATATGCAATTATTTTGATTCATACTTTCTAAGAGGAAAGTCCTCTTCTTCTCTATATACTTGATTTTTATATTAATAAATTGACGAATAACGAAGCCAAACTCTTCAACTTTAAATGTTTCATTTTTCATTGAACTTGTACCTGTATAAATTTAGTGACTAATAAAACATGATGGGTGAGTAATGGATAAAACGTATTAAAATTCAGTGACCATTTAGAAACATTTTAAAGTTTCAATTACTTATGAAACATGATGAGTGATAATGAAATGCAACGTTTTAGAGTTTAGTGATTATTTGAAAGCGTTTAAAAATTAGTGAATAAAACGTGACAGCAATATAAGTTCCGTAACGAATGAAACATTTAACTAAAAACTTTAAAACCTCCAATCCTCCATGCCAACAGAAGTGGCTACAGAACACAGATAACTTGAAATACTTATTTACTTACCCTCTAAGGTAAAATTCTACTTTTTAAAAATTGCGAAGTTTCCTAAGAATCCTAGAAACAAGAACCAAACATAGGAACCGACGTTATTATTACCTTTACGCCATTTACCATTGTAAAGCATTAAAGGGAAATGGAATAAAGAATACAATTGATTGTGCACTATAATCAAGGTTAGGAAGTGGGGTAAATTTTATTTAATTTTAATTTATTTTTATTAGGTTATTTAACTTGATTTAATTTATTTGAGTCATTGAATTACAATAAATTTCGGAATAATCCCTTGAACAACCCCTTGGACAACTAGGGGATTGTGTGTCAGCCCCCTATTGGGGGGCCCAGGGGGTTGTCAAGGGGATTGTTCAAGTAGCACCCCTCATAAATTTCACCTCTCAGTGGCCTTATCTCCTAAATTGATGAACATTACATTTTTGATTGGTATATCGCAATAAATTTTCAAGTAATTGATGTGTCTCATGCCAATTTATCACTATATTACGTCATAAAAGTGTTGCGACAAAAAACATCATTAACATTTTAATCTATCATAATACTT